CCAGTGAGTGTATATGTAAAACGGGTATCATATTTTTTCTTCATCCAAGTGTACACCAGGCACCAATCATAAGGGAGAAATCTTTCCATGGACCACTGCTACAAACATAATGATTTCAATGGTTTTGATTTAGCCTCATTGATGATGTGGGCTGACTGACATTCCTAGCAATAAGCCAAGATACAAGCAACAACACCATGTGTTTTACCATAAAAGATGAGTTATTTTATGACAGAATGAAGTGATGTGTCACAATCACAAAAGAAGAGTTTCTGCTGTGGGCACATGATGCTTATTTGTTCGGTGCGCCTATGCGCAGTTCTTAGTGGTACAGCCCAGTTCTGGGATTTCAAGCAAATTCTGCACAGATCGCTTTACAGGCCACAGACTCCTGGGGTCCGCCAGACAACACTTTGATAACTACTTTGGAAATTATTATTAAAACTTTAAAAAAAATTCCCTTGCCCATGACTGTCACAATTAAAAAAAAAAAGAGTGAACAACCTGTATAATAAATATTTTTAAAAAATCTCCACAGTTGAAAGCTTGGACAACCTTGGATGAGTGTTTAAACCGCAAAAGTATTTCTCTTAACAAGTTACTCCATGTTAATTTATTATAGCCATAATAAATGATGTCAGCTTGTTCCAAGAATTTCCTATAATCAAGTGTAATTTCCTCACTAGTCCTGAAAGCAGAGTTTGAATTAAGCCACTTGCTCTTTGCTGTGTAGAATTCACTAAAATTGCAGTGATAGAATGCTTGTAGAAAACCTATAACACCAGGATATTTGGATGCTCAACATATTCACGGTAGCAGATGTTTTTTTCGCGGTCTCTGGCATTCACTTGGCAGGTTACTGTAGTTCACCGTCAGACGAATTGCGACGATAATGCACTCTCATAAAGCACCCCGACTAAATAAGTACTTCCTTCGGTCTGGGAGATAGGGAATGCACCATAGACTTTTGAAAGCTGTTCTCTTTCCATCAGCTTGCCTGCTTTGAAATGGCTTGATTGAAATGAGCTTCATTTGAAACTGACTCTGTGCTGCCTCAGTTATATATGCAGGCATGACGGTGCAAAGGGAAACAAAGTGATCACGAAATACCAGTTTTTGCATCTGTGGGCACAAACACTACAGTTACAATGGACTCTACTTCATAAACAAGAAAATCAATCAGACTTTTTCTTCAGGATCAGAATCAGAAGACTTTATTTATCCCCAAGGGGCAACAGAGCAGCATAACGTTGAAGATAAGGACAGTAAGAACGGGCAATAAGAGTGAGCTTTGTTCTTAATTACCTGTGTTCATTTGTAGATGCTGAATATACGTGTTGCTGTTGCTGATTTAGCAGCGTGGATGGGCTTTCTTTTTGAAAAGGCCTTCTCCCACAAGTGTCAGCAAACAATACGTACACTGTGCGATGTTGCTGCATCATTCTTGACACCTCATCTATAGTACCTCAGAGAGAAAATCTGATTTCTGCTCTGTAACAGATCATCTCACAGCTCTTTCCTTTAGACGGTGGTAAAGCTGCAAATTGAAACATGAAAAATACAACCAAACTCCTGCTACGAGATGCATAACTGCATCTGAGAAAAGACATCAGCAAAGGGATCATTTGTTATGTCACACTGTTATTTTCTCACCACAGCAAAACCCAGTATATGCATTTTATTTTCTGGACTTCCACCAAAACAAATGAGTTTTACAAAGATCATTTGAAGCAAAAAATAAATAAATAAATATTAACTGAAAGAAATGCAGACGCATGAAGTTAGGTCATCTGAGTTCATGTGTAATAATAATAATAAAAAAAACAATACCGTGAAGGTCTCTGAATATTAATATGATCAAAATATTCTACCTTTATTACCCAAAGGACAACTCACTTAAAATTATTGCACTGAATCAGTGCCGTAATTGCTTTCCCCCAGTCTCACTTTGATGTAAATAACATTAGCAATTTTCCAGTCATTTTGCATTGATCCTCCAGTGCAGAATTCTGCCCCAAGAAGCAGCTGAAATTGAATGTCTTAGACTGTAGATGTGAAGCGTGCATTTCATTCGAGTTGTCTGAGAAACTTGACTACCTAAGAGATGCAACATTATTGGGATTGATTCTGTGCCTTGCCAGTAGCAATTTCTGTCCACTATACACTCACAGAAATGCGTAAAACAGTGTCCACACACATGCATGTGCATCACATTTGATGCAATGTAGAGCCTAGCAGTTACAATATGACTTTGCCTTCTGCCACTCTACAACTCCTTATTGCTTTTTGCTTTCAAAACAATAATTTTCATAAATTTGTTGCTAAGTTTTGTCTTTACATTCATAACCATTCCACCTTCCTCTCTTCACCACACTGATTTAGGCAATTTATTGTGTTAGCTCCCCACATACAAGACCTTGTTTTGAATGAATTGCTTACAAAAGAAAGCCAAGCTGGTAGACTTTTCTTTTTTTTTCCTTTTCTGTCCTCCCTCTCACTTAGTTAGCTCCATCTGTACAGCTGATAATATTAGAGCTGTAACAGACATCTTATGAAGAACAACATTTTTATTTTATATCTATTTTTTGCAAAATGTAGAAAGTCTGAAAACTGATTTCACTTCACTACAAACTCAGTGAAATAATCAATGTTTACTGTTTTGTGCTGAGGCATTATGGGTCTTCCTACTAAATAAATCAAATATAAATATATATATAAATAAAATATAATAAAAATGGAACAGCCAGCATTTTAGTGTGTTTTAGTTGAACTAAACAATATCAGGCAATAATATGTGGTGAATATGAAAGGGAAGTTTCCTAACCTTAATGAACTACTAATTTCCGTTCATGCCATAATGAATCAAATTTACATTTCAATAAAATCCTCTTATTTCATATTTTTATCCCCTTGTTTTGCAGTTGAAAAAGCCCAAATTGGACAAAATTTCTATTTTACTATTTTTAGGCTTGTTCAGCTACCAAGGTTTTATATATTCTTCTGCCATCATCAGCTTTACTGATGAAATATTCCAGTCACCCTTAGGTGGAAGCTTGCTATTGGTGGAACACCATATGTGGAAGACACATGCTAGTGTAACACCACTAGAAAAGACTGTGTCCATGAGTGTGTCCATGGCCTCTGTGAAAAAGAAAAAGTATTTCAATTGTGTTTTGAAAAGGCAGTGCCTTGGAGGTTTTTTGTTTGTTTGTTTTTTCATATCCAAGTCTGTTTTGTGGATATACCTAAGGACAGAAACAACGCGACCTTGGTGATGGGGATGCGAGATCAGATAATGGGTTTAAATTTCATTTTGAAGAAAAGATTTACGAACTCCTCGTTTTGTTTGGATGGCATATTATTTTATGATTTGACACAGTTAATACATTTTAAATTAAATGTAAACAAACTATTGTAAGGGTGATTTATAAATTTTTTTATTGGTATAAAAATGGGGGGGGGGGGGGTATCACATACCTCTTCAGTGAAGTCAAAATACTTAGACTATTTATTGCAGTATTATCTCTTCAAACGAAACAAAGGATATAAGAGGCATTTGGACAAACAAACAATTAGTTTTACAAGTTTTAGGGGGTGGGGGTGGTGCAAGTGGGGAGGTGGGGGATGGTTGCCCTCCCATGCCCCCTGTAGATCGTCCCCGGCCATTTATGTAAAACAGAAATCATTAATTGGTATCACTTTTCTTTTGAAACATCACCATCACGGTCATTAAATTTCTTTTTTAGGAGCAATTACATTACCAAGGTTATGTTTTGTCAAAACATAGTTTCTCAGACTGCTCAGTGTCCATTTTATTTTGTCAACTTTCAAAAGGTTGATTATGGTTCACAAAACACTTAAATCTATTTTGTTCAAAAGATATACAATATGTAGTTATACTGGATGAGTGAACTGTTCAGTAGTAACTGGTTTGGTCACTCAATTTTTGCTCCCCTTCACATGCTAGTGTGAAATTGTTCCTGTATCATTTGGACATGAGGGATTGGATGAGGGTGTGAAGCATCATGTAGGGTGCTAGGGTGCAACCGCAAACCAACTAAAAATAATTATCATGTTTAGCAACTTTGTTTGTATATGTTTTCACCTAATTAAGATCGAAAATAAAAGTGAAAAAACATGTAAGCTAGTATTGAGACTTGAATTACTTAAAGAAGTGATGAAGAGATCTGCGATGCTAGATGCTGGAGCACAAACCAGTAGGTAGTGGGGGAGGGCTTAGGTAAAATATGAGTGTACTGCCAATCCCAATGAAATGCTGGAGTCGCCGGTGCCCTCCCCACCACAGTAATTCATAACAGCACTGCCACATCTTCTCTGACAGGTTCAGTAAATCTCTCACCATTTTTACTGTTTAAACCCTTACTCATTGCTTTTCTTGAGCCACACACCCAAAGCAGGTAGTGGAGGCAAATTGTAAACAAGATGCCAAGCACTGTTAGTCCTACAGTAGTACTGAGGTAATGAAATAGTGCTATATAGACATAAACCAGAAGCGCATACTATGTCCATGTATCTGAATGTGCTAACATGCTATTGCTATAAGGAGCATGCATACAGTTAGGATAAAAAAAGTAAGTAAATCATATTAAATTCAGTTTTACATATTAGGACATAATAAAAAAATCTTTTAGATAAATATTTCATATGAACTTGGCAGAATATGAATGACGCATTATATTGTGTCATTATTTATTTCAAAACATTTATTATATATATATATTTATTGTTTCTGTTTGATTCTTAATTTGTTGCGGTTTTTGCAGTCTTGAGTTTTAAACCTTTTTAGAGATATTTCCAATTTTTTTTTTTATGTATGTATTGATTTATTTTCTGTTTACATTCTCTGGCCTTTTTCAGTTGTAGTTATTTGAGCTCGGTTTGACTCTGTTCACCTGTGTCTTGTTTTCACCAGGTGTTACCCCTTATCGTTTGTGTATTTAAGCCCTCAGTTTTGTTCAGTCTGTTGTGTTGAACTGTTTCTCTCACTTGATTTATAGATTTTTTTGGGGGGGGCTTTTTCTGTTTGGCCGCTTGCTGCTAGGATTTTTTTCCACCTGCAAAATTAATTTTCTGTTTCTACAATGCAGGTCAGTTTCATTATTTCCTCTCTGTTCTCTGAGTCTGCATTCTGGGTCCGCATTATCAATTTCTTCACTCCATTTGGCAGAGCCATACTGTTTTATACAAAGTAAGACGTTTGGTAGCAACTAGACACTCTAATCAAATACACTTGATTAATTGACCATCAATAAGTGTGAGCACATCTATAAATACAGAAGTATTGGTCATTTGCTGGTCTGGAGCATTCAGGTGTGTCATCATTCTACAATAAGAAAGATTATCTGATTTAACCTCTTAAGCCCCAAAGGGGTTTCTGAGCTTCCTGCTCGAAAATGCAATGCCCAAATGTAATTGATTATTTCTCTGCAATTAAAAACTCTGCTTACAATCTTGGTATCAAAATAAAGCTAACACTTGTGAAATTTCATCAGAGGTGTAAATATTGAAGCAGATATTACTGTGTCAAAGTTACTGAGACTGGAACACAGAATAATTAAGTAGATTTTATCCTCACCTAATTTTTATTTTATTTTTAGCCTATAACCCTTTTAAAAATATGCCTCAGTTCACATTTCATTCCAGAAATTCAGTAACCAACATATAAACATCATCTGTGCAAAGATTTGTTTCTAAAGTGAAACAGTGAAAAATTACAGCACTGTCGATACATGAATATCCAGACGTTGTAAAAAAAAAAAAGTCCAACTTTGGCACACAATTGGACACCATGTCAGTTGAATTTTTTAGGTATT